TGAAGAAAGGCTTTGGCATTTCTGGGGTTCTACAGAATGGACCAAGCATGTTTCAGTTATTGGATGTGTAATGTCCTTCATGAGGAGGAGAAAAATGCCCCAAAGGGAAAAGTTCACTGATTAGCAGGGCTTCAGAAGGAACATGCGTGGAATGTCAGGGCTGTGTCTGACGTTGGCTTGAACATGCTACTCTGCAAGGCCAAGATATTGGAGTCACCACCAAGTTGAGAGGCTCCACAGACGGTCTCTGGTTTGTGTCTAAGATCTCTGAGAGGTCTCGGAGTGAGGACACTGGGGAACCTGTGAAATCTGGTGAGGTCTCGGGAAGAGATCTGTGTGGGACCAAGAGGTCTCTGGGGATTTCTTTTGGGGTGACACAAGAACTCAGAGCTAGGTGAAAGTACTGTGGGAAGACTAGGAGATCTCAGTGTATAACACACACACACACACACACACACACACACACACACACACGGCGATGAGCGTTCTCTGTGAGCTGCCTCTGTAGATCTGAGGTGTCTCTGGAAGTGTACACTTCAGGCCTCATGGTCCCATTGTGAAGACTGAGCATTAGGACAGAGAAGCATGCTCCTTCTGTGTTCCACCTGGCCCATCGGCCTAGCCAGCTGTGACACTGATGCTGGCAGAAGCCATGAGGCCATGTCCAGCTCCTCTATGTTCCAGAACATACCTTAGGACCCAGAGAACCCAGAAGCACCCAGGCATAGCTCCTCCTATGGTCACAGTCCCCACTGGGAACAGGGCCACTCTGTGTCACAGGGCCAGCCCCTTCTGCCAGCTCTGGCTCCTCGCATGGCTGGGTCCACACTAGGTACGGACAGAGCATCCAGGTCCCTGAGACAGGACTTGGCTGCAGGGTAGCCTGCACCACTACCAGCTGGACCCCAGGGGTTGGTGCCTACTTCTGCCTCCACCCCAGGTGCAACCCATGCACAGGTGGAGGCAGGGCCCCTTCACTTGTATGGATAAGCTGTGCTTGTTGCAGGACACTCGACCTCAGGACTGAGGCCCTAGGCGCTGTGTCCGTGGCTGCCCTGTGTGCCACTTAGCATAGGAAATGCTCTTGAAGGAATGGCTGCTCCTCTCCCTTCCTCTTGAGCCCTCCTGCTTTTCCATGAGGTCCGGGGCCCACAGGAAGGGAAACCCATGTTAGAATCAGTAAGGACACAGCGACTCCCCTGGACTGTCCCTGCCCACAGACATTTGGTCAGGGCACTCCCAGCCTTTGTGTGGTACAAACCTGCAAGGCCACCCCTTCTGGCTCTGGGCCAAACAGGGCTGGGAGCCAGGTAAGCCTGGCTGTGTGGCCCCAGGGCAGCCCTTCAGCTCTTCAGAGGCGACCCTCTA